GGGAAGGGAGTACTTGACACTCCTCTGGGCTCGACTTCCTTGACCCAGGGGAGCAGGTGGCAGGCCCAGGCCCTGGCCAGTGACAAAAGAGCCTCCCACTCTTGGCGCCACGCCTGGCAGCCCCTCCCCACACAGCAGCCCCCACCCCACCAGGAACAGGACACCAGGGTGCAGAAGGGCCTGCAAGAGGGGTGCAGTCTGCTGCACCAGTGTCTCAAGAGGCTCGGCCTGCAGGGGGTTGGGGGGAGGAGCTGAGAGGAAGAGGGGAACAGAGGTGTTGCTGTCACCTAGGCCTTGCCCTAGGAAGACGAGCTGGGTGGTACGGCTTAGGGACTCGTGACAGCTCTGTGCTGCTGGGGGCGGTGCTGACCCCTAGCAGGGCATAGAGGGGGCTCTGGGAGGCACATGTGCCTGGGGCAACTGGTGGCAGAGCCCAGACACGGCCTCAGTGGACATGTGTCCTCAGGGGCTGCCCAGTACCTGCCCCTCCTCCGAAGAGGCCCCAATAGCCCTGCTGCCCACTTGGAGGCCTGGCCCATCCTGCCTCCACTGGGGTGCTGCAGAGGAGGCAGGTGTGTGGGCACAGCCTGGGACACACAAGGCCAGGGCTGCTGAGTGGGAAGGCCTCGGTGTCACTGACGGCTGGTGGCAGTGGGACGAGGGACAGAGGGCAGAGAGAGGGCCGCCTGGTGCCAAGACCAGCTCAGGATGTGGCCCAGACACGAGTCTCAGGAGCACAGACCACGCATGTGGCTCTAGTCCCCTGGGTCACAACAGCCCTGCTGACCTCTGACCCAGCTGTCCTGGGACAGGCAGTGGCCAAGACTGCCCACCCCTGCCTGAGCACTCAGCACTCAGACCTGCCCTGGCTGGCCTCCTCTCCCCTTCTTCCAGGGCCTGGGGCAGGGAGCGGGCACACTGCAGTGCTCTGCCCACCTGCCAAGGAGGCCCAGAGAGTGGAGGAACTGGTGTAAGGCCACACAGCACTGGTGTGGGCTGGGTAACTAGCCGGTGCCGGAGACACTGCACACGGCTCCCGGCCCGCCCCTCCCCCATGGGGAGTGGGTGCAGCAGCAGGCCTGGGGACTCGGGGCTGTCACGGAGCCCTGCAAGGAGCAGCGCTCTCTTAGGGCATCCACGGGCCCACAGGGGTCTGAGGCGCAGCCGGCATCTGGGGTGGACCAGTGCCGCTGGGGTCCCCCTGTCCGCCCGGGGCCAGCTCCCTGAAGGCAGTGCAGAGGCCGCAGACCTTCAGGACGTGCCCATCCAGGCGTGGGTCAGGGCACGCGTGTGCATGCACAAGCACGTGGTTGTGAGTGGATGGGTGCGTGCAACGGTACATCACACATATAAACGCACACGTGCACACACACTAGTGCGCATGAGCAGTGAGCACGTGTGTGTGTGTGTGTGTGTGCGTGTGTGTGTGTGTGTGTGTGTGGTGTGCGCGGATGGCTGCACGCGGACATACGAGCATTCATGCATCTGTGTGGCTGGACATCTGCCCACACACGTATGTGCCCGTGTGAGGCTGCGTGCACTGTCTCCTCGCTGGGCTGGCTATGGCCCAGCAGCCAGCAGCCCACACTGGCCCATGGCTACCCCCAATTTTTCGCCCCCCACCCCCCACGTGGGGGTGCTGGCAGAGGCAAGGCGGCCTCGGGGAAGGCAGTGGCGGCATGAATGGGCACACGCCTCCCACCCAAGTCCATCTGGAGCTGGGCTGGACGTGTGCACTTCCTGTGCCACCCTGCTGGGACCCCGCACCTCACTGGCTCAGTGCGGTGTGAGGTGAGCTGGGGGCAGGTGAGCAGCTGGGGCTGGCTGGCCTTGGCCCCACAGAGGTCCCAGTACACAGTACCAAACTCCAGACTCAGCCAGGACCCCCAGAGGAGGCACGTGTGCTCACGGGTGCACACACAAGCCCATGTGCACATTCGTGCCCTCTTGCCCCAAGGGCAGCCACAGTGTCACACGGGACCCCACTGTAGTCACGTGGGGAATCCCCAGCACTGACAGGGTAGGGGCTGGCTCAGATTCGAGGGGTAGACTACCCGCTCCAGGCTGCTCCCAGGCATTGTGGTGACGGGCAGGCGGCTGCGTCTGGGCCTCAGCAGAGAGCCTGCTGTCCCTGGCAGGGCCCGGGTAGCTCGTGTGCAAGAGTGGGTACAGCCAGGACCCTGGAACCCTGCTCCCTGCAAAAGGGGGTAGCTGTCAGGACAGGTGTGGGGGAAGCCACTTCCTAGCTGGGCCACCTTAGGTGGTCGGTCCAGCTCCTGTGCCTGTCTGGCCTTAACTGTGACACCAGGGTAGAACTGGCGTCCACCTCTCAGTAGCTGTGAGGAGTGACTGGTGCTGGCGGGGACCAGGGCAGGCAGTGAGCCAACAAGCAGCAGCCACCGACGGCCACCAGGCCCAGGGCAGAGCAGGCTCCAGGCACACCTGGCGCAGCAGAGAGGCCTGGAGGGTGGCAGGGGGCACAGGAGATGGGAAGGAGCACTGTGTGGGACACAAGTTGGGGGTGCCCCTGGCGGAGAGATCACATGGCCAGCTGCCAGATGCACCCCCAGCCTGAACTGCATGGCTGCCACGCCAGGGCAGCCCACAGGCCATCGGAGAACCTCCAGTGACCCTGACCCATTGGGTCAGAGGGGAGGCTTCTGAGGGCCCTGTTCTTCTCACCAAGGGCCCGGGGCCACCTTGGCCCTGTGTCCCTCCCCAGCCGGGGCACCCAGGAGGCTTCTAGAGCCCTTGTAGCACCCACCCACTCCTGTGATGCAGCCTGTGGGCAAGGCCTCTGACCCAGCCCACAGCCTGGCAGGGGACAGCCACAGGTCCCGCACCCCACAGGACCCAGCTCAGGCCTGGTCTGCCCTCTCACTCGGGCCTGTGATAGGAGCCGGGCCTGCAGTCATGGCCAGTGAATGCACTGTCACTGTGAGACCACCTGCCCCCAGAACCACTCCCCTGGGCACCTCTAAAGGTGGGCACACACCCCAGCAAAGCCCTGGTGCCCACCACACAGCTGCTGGGCACTTGTGGTTGTTACTGAGTCCTACCCTGGTGTAATCCAGTATCCCCAGGGAGGTGGCAGTCACCAAACACCAGAGTCCTCAGCTAGCTGTAAGACCCGTGGAGAGTGCCTCCTCTGGGCAGCCTCCCCCACGTGGGTGGGCAGGCTACAGGGAAAAGCAGAGGGGAGGCTGGGAGAGGTGGGGCTGCTGTCTGCTCAGGGCGCAGGTGCGCACACCTGGCAGGTCCCAGCCTAGAAGGCAGCATTTGCAGGGACAGCTGGCAGGCAGCGCTGAGAAGTGTGTGGAGCTGTGGGCTGGGCTGCAGCGTGCTCTGGTTTAGGGCCTGCCCAGGACGGGGCCAGGCTCAGTGTGGGCTTCGGGGCCAAGAAAGCTGCCCAAGGCAGGCCCAGTGCAGCTGCAGAGGGTCACAGCTGGGCAGGCACCACCACAGGCTTTGGTCATCCTCCATGCAGGGGGGGGGGTGGTGGTGGCATACAGATGTGGCCCCCAAGCCTCCTGTGGGACAGAGGTGCACAGACCCTAATGCCCCCTTTGGGCTCTGCACTCATGGCAGAAAAACTGCAAACATGCGCCCCACTACATGGCTGTCTGCTGCCGGGCCCTGCCCCCCAGCACTGTAGCTGCCCGTGTCCATGCCCACAGGGCACGAGCCTCCACTGCTCTAGGATCCCAGGCTGTCCCCTCACCCAGGGGACAGTCCTTCCCCTGCCATCCTGGGGCTTGACTCCTGCACACTGGCCACTGCCTGGCCCACCTGTGCCCCTCAGCCTCGCAACGCAGCCATCTTTGTAGCTGCCCCCGAGGGATGGGCGAGGCACAGCCTCTCCTGGCTCCCCTTCCCTTGGCTGTCTCGTCCCACATCCCCCTCCTTCCCCCCAGCAGGCCCTTCAGCAAACACGCATCCCTGTGCCGTGGCCTGCCCGGGACTCTCCTTCCCGGCCTTGCTGGTGGAAGCGTCCAGCCAGAGCTCTGTCCCCACGCACACCCACCTCCAACACCCAGCTGCCTGGACGCAGCTCCAACTCCCCTGCCGCAGAGCCCTGACCTCCACCTGGGGCCCCACGGCCTGGCAGACAGGGCAACCAAAGCCCAATCCTGCACATCCCGACCCCTGCATGTGCCCGGCTGCTCCACACAAACCCCAGGAGGGGCCTTGATTCCGGGCTCTTCCACACTCCCCCACCGGGATCCAACGGCAGGTGTCGCCCACTGTTCCCCTAGACGCCCCACAGCTGCCCTCTTCTGTCTCCACACCCGCCGCCCTGTCATCTCAGCCGCCCTGTCATCTCAGCCAGGCACAGGCACGTCGAGCCCCCTCGGGCCAGGCCTCAGGGCTCTTCTGCAAAGAGCCACTCCCTGCCCTGCAGCCCACAAGGGACGCTCCCAGCTCTGCCCTTCACCTGGTACAGGTGTTGCCTCCTGTCACTCAGAGCCAGGGATGCCCCTGCAGGCTTGTCCAAGGGACAAGGGAGCTTGTCCATCATCCCCGAAGCACGCCTGTGTCCAGCCCAGGCAGACACAGCAGACGCATGCCGACGTAGAACCACTGCAGTCTGGGGGTGCCTGAGGACCCTGCAACCAGGGCATCCCCTCCCCACTCGGGGCAGCCTTGGCTTCCAGAGCCGCCTCTGTGGCTGAGTGCTGGGAAGGGCCGAGCCCGGTGGCCAGCAGCCCCCAGCTCTCGACCTGAGCCCAGGTAGTAGGGACACGGGGTCAGCAGGCGGGATGGGCATGGGGACAGCCCTTGGCGGATGTTGCCAAAGCTGGAAGGGCTGGCTCTGAGGACGTCTCCAGCCAGGGTTTCCCTGTCGGCTGGAGGCCGACTAAGGCTCATCCCCAGCCTGTGCTGCATGGCCCGAAAGGCCCAGCACACCTGTGCCTGCCACACAAGGCAGGCCACGGAGCCAGATGAGGAATCACAGACAACCTCAGCCAGTTTTCTTCAAGTAGCAGACCTCTGTTTCACTAAATCCATCTTCCCCCCCAACCTTCTAGAAGCCAGGGATGCAGGCTGGCCACAGGGTGGAGGCAGAGGTGCACAGCCACGAGGACTCTGCTGCACTCTGGGGGTGTGGTCTGGCCTGCTGGAGGCCAAGCGATGGGCAGAACGCCCAACCCACCCCCCCAGAAGGCTGAGGGCTGGGCCCCAGGAGGGCACTGTGGCACAGCTCTGCCATCGAGGCCCCCTCTCCTAGGGGGACAGGTTAGAGCCACATCCAGGGCTGGAAGCACCTGCCATTCCCCTCGGGCACAGATGCCCGAGCTAAGACCCTGCAGTGGTCCTTGGCCTCCCAGTGAAGAGCCCTGGGCCTCAGGGACCCCCCGCCCTCCCTCCATGGACGCAGAGCCCAGTCCCAGCTCTGTGCCACAGGCACGCCCCGTGCCAGGACACCAGGCAGGCTGGCCACATCACCCAGGGAGCGGTAAACGCAGATGTGGCAGAGCTGCCAGACTACACTCGTCCACCACGCGCAGCCGCACAGGCTCCTGGGTGGACCCCCGGGGCCCTGGAGCTCCAGGCGCTGCAAGGCAGTGGGCGGGACCTGAGGGCGGTGGGGTCAGGAGGAGGGGCTGCAGCTGGCAGCTGAGGGCCATCTCCGGACCAACACGGCCACCCAGTGTGGGGGAGCCACCAAGCGCCCACTGACCTCGGGGAGACCTTGACCTCCCACTGCCTTCCCTGACACCAGGCTCCAGCAGAGGGGGCTGGACGCAGAGCTTCTCAGGCGGACGGGGCGGACGAAAGTGGAGCACTCGGGCCAAGGGCTCCAGAGCTGGGTCCCAGAGCCTCAGGGCCACCACGCTCAGCCCTCCGCTCCCTCGGACCAGCAGTGGGGCTGCCTCACGCCTCAGTTTCCTTACAGTGGGGACATGAGTGCCCACCTTTGAGGGTTCTTGGGTGTGCTGAGGGCCAGCAGGCTGGGCCACGCCGTGGGATGCAGCCTTGGGCACTCCCGGCCACGTCCAATCAGACACACGCAGACATTCAGTCCGGTTTCTCTTGCTGGGTAAAAATATTCCTTCCATTGCTCAAAACATGATCCCAACAGTAAGTACCACGGAGGCCACATGTGGCCGTGGGACGAGCGCTGTGGAGCAGGTGGGGCGGCACTCGTCCCATTGCCTCAGTCTGGGCCCCCATGCCTGTGAGCACAGCCTGGGAGGCCCATCTGATCCTCAGTAGACACGGTGGGGCCACCGCCAGGGTGCTGCTGACCTCAAGGCCACGCCTAGTAGCCTTCATCGTCGTCACCATCACAGCCGTAATCTGCAGAGCACAGAGGAGAATCAGGGAAGCCGAGGACTTCTGTGTGGTCAAGGGGCCCAGTTGCCATCCTCCTGCCTTGCCCCTGGGCCCCTAGGCCCTGGCTGCTCCCTGGTGAGGCTCTTGCACCCGCCCCACCGGCCTCATCCCCATATGGCCCCACCACTGACGGGGACTGCCATTTTGGTCTCCTCATCCCTGTGAGCTCGGGGCTGGAGTGTGCACAGCGCTGGGGGGTCTGGGTTCCTGTCGAGGGCACATGTGAGCAGTATGGTTACCCTCGGCGTGTGCAGACCCGGGAGCCCCACTCTGCTAGCCGACTGGCCTTCACGCAGACACCTTGCTGTCCCAGTGGAATTGGACTCTGACCCTGGCCAACTCCAGCTTTGGGGTCTCAAAGCCAATATGGCCAATTTACAAAGCGTCCTACTTCAAATTTCCTTCCAGGGAGAAATAAATTTAGTTTGATGCCTGAGTTCAGGGATTATTATAGGCAGATGGTTTGTGCCTTTCTTTCTCCAGAACCACCCCTGCCCTGCACCTTCCCGCCACCCAATTCCTGTGTGGGCCACCAACCACGCAGAGACACCCCACACCCGAGTCAGGCCCAGCCTGCGAGGGCGCCCCCACCCACCGCTGCCGCCCATCATCTGCAGGGCGCTGACGCAGGGCTCCCCATCCTCCTCGTCAGGGTCCTCCTCATCTGCCTCCTCGTCCGGGTGGTAAGACACAGGTCCACTCTCCACGAGGACTGCCTCGGGCCTGACCGGCTCAGCTCCAAGGGCAGGGGGGCTCGGGAGCAAGGCCTGGAACGGGGGGTGGGGCATGGAGTGGGGACTATCCTTCCCCCTGGACGGGCCTCAGCTACTCCTCTGGTTCCCCAGGGGCTGTGCTGGGGGCTGTGCTGGGGCTGTTCCTGGGGTGCTGACCCTGATTGGCTGAAGCCTGGCCTGGGGGAACCCCAGAGCCTGTGAGCAGAGCAGGAGGCAGCGTGCCTGCTGGGCCTGCCTCGGTCTCCTGCCAGAGGTGGGTGCTGGGGGCTGCAGCCCACGCCTACTCCTTTGCCTCCCCCCAGCCGCTCTCCCGTGCACTCCCGCGAGCATCCAGAAGGCTTCTTTCCCCGCAGGACTCAGCCTTAAGGACTCCACGGGCTCAGCACCAAGGCCCTGCCCCCAGCAGCACAGCAGTCTGCGGGGAGGCTGGTGCTCCAGCACCGGCTCAGACCCACCCCCAGTGACACCACTCCTAATCCTGGGCCAGCACCTTCAGCTGCACCAGCCCTCCCTGCTGCTCCTGTGCCTCCTGAACCAGACCAGGGCCCCAGCGACAAGCAATGGTCCAAGAGGAAGACCCCTGAGCCCTGGCCTGGCGAGCCAAGGCTGTCACCCAGAGGGAGGCCTCACACCAGGCCCTGGGCACTTAGAGTGGGACCCAGCGACCTGGGCAGGGGCCTCGCTCACCACATGAAGGCTCTCAGCAGGCCCAGGGAGGGAGGCCCTGTGGGCTGTGCTCTGGCTGCTGGGCACACACTGGGGACTGCTCACCCTCAGCCGACCCTGTCCCTGCCTCCTGCCCACTCCTGGAACCTGGGACCTGCCTCCTGGGGCCTCGATCCTCTGCCTGTGCAAGGCCAGCGTGGAGTCTATTCTTGGCTGGCTCGCAGACGGCGTGTCTGGGCTCAGGAACGAGTGAAGTGAGCTGCTCCCCGAGATCCCTACCCTAGGCCACATGGGACAACGCACCTCTCCCACGGCCGCCTTCTTAGCTGGCTGTGTAGACACCAGAGGCCTCAACCTGAAAGAGAGCACAGCGTGGCGGCCTCAGCCCCCGCCTCCTGTGACAGGAGGATGTGAGCCCTGCCGAGGCAGCTTCTCGCAGCCACCTCCAGCTGGATGTGAGGGGCTGACGCCTGCCCCAGTGCAGACACTCCCAGGACAGCCCGCCTACCTGTACCTGGTGGACAAGGTGGGCTTGGCAGCTCCAAGTGCCACCTGAGAGCCACTCTCTGGAAACGCCGCCTCCAGCGGCATGGCCAGTGTCCGCCGCACACACCTCCTGACTCACACTGCTCTCCCCCACTCGGGGTCGTGTCCACCTGCATGATTTTGGTCCCTCCCCAGTGCACTGTCAGGGGGCTGTCTCACTTGTTCCTTCCTGTATGTTTTCACTTTTTCTGGATTAATCAGCCTTTCCTGTTCCCTCTGTAGTAAAAGTCTGGTTCTATGTTCATCTATGCCTATTCCGCTAGTAGTTATTCACATTAACAAACATCTTTGACCCATGCTTACTTTGGAGTAAATACATGCACAAGACGCAAACCCACACAATCTGCAAAAGCACGGCTCCCTTCTCGATGCACAGAAATCGCCCAGGGCACCTTCCTCACCCAGTGGGAAGAGGGGCACACTCCCAGACAAAGGTGCCTTCCACCCCACATGGCCAGGTCTCCTTGGAGGCTGCTGGCCTGCCCAGGGAGGCGGGAGCCCCACAGGAGAGGAGGCGGGCTTTCCTCCCACGTGCTGATGTGGCCACTCAGGTCTGTGCAGGCTGGTGTGAGCGGGCTCTGGGCCTGTGGGGGAGGATGGGAAGCATAGCCGTGTGGGGAGGTGGGGGGCTGGACCCTCGGAGGCCTGGCCCTACCCGGCTGTGACGTGCTGGATGAACCCTATGGGCACCAGGAAGGGACCTTGGAGCAGGTGGACATTTGCAGAGCAGCTAAACGCAGAGCTGGCACCCATGTGTGGGCCAGGCCCAAGGCCCGAGGCAGAGGGAATCTCGTCAGCCCAGGCGCTGGGCGCCGCTCCTGGCGAGGCTTCCCAAGGCCTCCCCGCCTGCTGTGAGCAGGGAGCGCACGCGAACACACAGCGCGGGGCCTGCTGACGCCCATCCTCAGACCAGGGTGTGCTGCCTTGCCTGCCCTGCACGCCCCAGGCCCGTTCTGCAGCAGAGCAGCGCCTCTCCTCAGGAGGCGGACCTCGCCCAGGGCAGCAGCCCCACGGTGGTCTCTCCAACCAGGGCCAGGGCTGGCGCTCCATGGGGCAGGCCCAGGGCTGCTCTCTGCACAGCCCCTCCTCTAGGATGATCCAGCCAGCAGGCCCCTGCCAAGGAGGCCCAGAGTGATCTGCAATTGGCCCTGAGACCCCACTGGCTCAAGGAGCGAGCAGTTTCTTTGGCTCAGACAGACCACGCCTTAGTCAGATGGGAGGAACAGACGACAGACACAAGGGCAAGGCCAGGGGACAAGAAAGCCACGACTTGATCAGAAACAGTAGCTAGACTAGAGAACTCAAATCAGGATGCAGTCGTTCCTACAAGGACATGTCTTTCCTGTCCGTGGCTGTCACCTGAAGCCACAAAGACACGCGGCAATGTCCCAAGGCAGAAAAAGCCAGATTCGCCAGAACCAGGAGGTGGCTGTGCCGACCTCACCCTGTGTGGCCAGAGCTCCCTACAGGGGAGGCCAGGCCAGAGAGAGAACTCGGGGTTCAGTCAAGGATGGCTGGTATTAGGGCAAGAAACCACAAGGGTCCCAGGGCATGACGGCCAAAGTGGGGTAGGGGTCTGGGCCCGACCTTGGGGCCTGTCCCTGGAGCTTCCCGTCCTCTAGCGTGCCGCGGTCGCAGTCTCCACAGGATCCTGCGTGAACCCCAGGCCCCGAGGGAGGGTCTGCAAATACCTGGAGAACAAACTCCTGCCCAGCATCTCCTCAGCCCAGGGTCTGTTTGCCTGGTTGGTGCCCAGCCAGCCAGGGGCCTGGGGGACCTGGCGCCACTACCCCCACCTTTCACCCAAACCCAGCACCATGTTCCAGCTGCAACCCCTCCTGGCCTGATGGCAAATACCACACCCGGTTCCTGGAGCACTGACCCTGCTTGGCTGGAGCCTGGCCTGGGGGAACCCCAGAGCCTTTGAGCAGAGCAGGAGGCGGCATGCCTGCTGGGTCTGCCTCAGTCCCCCTTCCGGAGGTGGGTGCTGAGGGCTGCAGCCCATGCCTGCTCCTTTGCCTGTCCCCAGAGGGGCACAACCAGACAGGGGCTACAGGGGCTCACACATGAGAGCAGACTGACCTACCTGGCCAAGAGCAAGACCTGCGGGTCAAAGAAGCCCACGCTCAGTGCCCCGGCTGCCTCCCACAGTCGGAGAGCCCACCGAGTGACCACAAGTGCCCGTGGAGTGAGGAGGAGAGAAGCTCAGAGGCAGCGGCTACCTGAACCCCTGCATCACCCAGCTCGGGTTCTGTGGCCGTCCTCAGAGGGAGCCCACATCCCAATGCAGGACCAGGGGAGCAGCTGCCCACACGGTAACAGGCAGGGCAACCACAAGGGGAATGAGGGGGCCCTGGCACTGAGGAGAGGCCACCCAAGTGGCCAGACTATGAAGTGCAGCCTCTGCCACCAAGTGACACTGTGGTCTCAGGGCTGCCTCTCCCCAGCTCAGTGCTGCGGCCTGCCCGAGCCCCTCTTTCCTCAGCTCCCAGTGTAGCTGAACCCCCCCAAGGGCTGTGCGGACAAACTAGGACCTGCCCTTCTGCCTCACGGAGTCCCTTCCTGTTCCCTGCCCTGCTAGAACTGCCTGAGCTGCCTAGGCCTGGCATCCCCACCCCCGAGGCCTTTCTACTCCTTTTTCAGGACGTTCAACATTCACAGATCAAGTCCTGGCCGCTCAGGAGAAGGTCAATAGGCTACCAATGGAGCAAACTGCACATACAGACACACGTGCACCATGCACGTACACGGACATGCACACACGTGCCGTGTGCACATACACACACAGACACACCCGCACCCAGGGCATGCCCAGGCCAGCTGCTCAGATGGGATGGAGGAGCCAGCTCCCTCCCAGCGCTGCCAGAGGCCTGGCAGGGTGGGCGCAGGCGGCTGAGGCAGGCTCAGACACAGCTTCGGATCCCGCCTCCGAGCGCTCAGGTGCAGGGGTCTGAGCCACAGGACCCGCTCCGACCCCACCTCTGCCCTGCCAGACCTCCCCCACCCGCAAGGAAGGCGGTGCCAGGGATTCATCCCCACGGCTGCTGAGAAATGAGAAAGCAAATAAAGCTCCTTCGAAAAGCAGCACGTGGGGACAGCGACAGCAGGGGAACAGCAACACAGCCAGCTTTTGCGGGTGACAGAGCAGCCTACCCAGGAACTCAACAGGCCACAGAACACCACTACAAACAAAAGGAGACCGACAGGGCTGACGGGAACAAAAGGAATGTGCGGAGGTTCAGCGCTTCCCCACACGCAGAAGCAGCTGGAAGACCACGAGTAAAGATCCCACGGGGGCAGGAGTAGCAAACGCCTATGGCCTGGGGCACCGGAGACGTGGCACAACTGTCCGCCGCAGGCTGGATGCTGATGGAGCTGAGCCGCCCACCCTGTCTTCATGGCCAGGGGAAGGCACTGACCAGCGTGGGCATGTGAGGGCCGACAGGGCCGTGGCCTCAGCAGGAGAGCCCGCAGCCACTGCCCGACAGCCACGGCACAGGGGCCAGCTCTAACCTGGGGCAATAAGGGCCACATGTGGCTGAGACATCCTCAAGGTGGCTCCTGGTGGAGCTGCAGGACGGGGCTGATCCAGCTCCCCGAGGCCAGCACATCAGGCCCTTGACCCGTCCTGCGTCCTGTTTTCTCTACCCACGTCCTACTTGGTCAGCGGCTCCTGCTCTTACCTACTTCTCTCTCTCTCAGCAGACAGCAGTGCAGCCCGGGGCGCACAGAGGGGCTGTGAGGGCTGTGGCTGCCTCTTCTCCCATGAAACCAACCCTGGGCTGGAAAAGGGGCCTGAACATCCCATCACCTCCTTGAGACGGAGCAGACCCTGGCACTGCAGGACGCCTTGAGGGCGGGAGCCCCCTCCTCAGTGCATAGCCCCACCTGCGAAGGGCAGTCTGGACACAGTCGACGCTCACACTTGGAGACAGCCCATCATCCCCTCGCGCAGCTGGGCAAACGTGGCTCTGGGAGCTCCTCAGGACCCAGTCGGCCCACGACAGCCCCCAGACCTGAGGCCTCAGGCCTCGGCCTGCACCGACAGGACAGGACGGTACCTCTTCCCCACGCTGGTCACAGGGTCAGCCCCATTTCTGCTGGCAGGCGTTCTCCTCCGTGACAGCTTCCTGGCACTGGCCCTGTCCTCGGGCCGGGCGTCCTCCCGCCGCGGGCTGCCCGCGCCCATGCTGTTGAGGTCCCGCAACACACTGTAGTTGATCTTGCTGGAGATCTTCTTCTGCTCCAGCATCTTTTCGATGGCCTCCCCGGCCGTGCTGGCCTGAATGGGTTCCCGTCGTTTGCAAGACTTCTTGGGCTTGATGGAAGCACAAGAGAAATGTCTGCTGTGAGTCACGGGTGGGTGGGAGTGGGGAGGGCAGTGCCGGCCATCAGTCCCCACAGGGAGCCAAGGCATGGGCTGGGGCAGGTGTCCCAGCCAGCCCTTCCTGGGCCTGCCCAAGTCAAGTCTTGCCCTCCCAGGTGAGTGGGCACTGAGGGCAGCCCCTCAGCTCTGGGCTGGGGCAAGTCCCTGGGGTGTGCGGCCGGCTGGGTGCCCGAGGGGCCGTGGAGCAGCAACAGCAGCAGACCTGCCAGTGAGTCCACCACTCGGACCCCCGGTGCCTGACCCAGCACAGGGCCACGTGAACGTGGCAGAGTAAGGTGCTGCCTTGTGAGGACCACAGCAGGGACACTACCAGAACACAGACAGACCATCTGTCCCAGCATTGAGGCCAGGGTCAACAGTCCCCGCTGCCCAAGGACCCCAGATCACATCTCAGGGGCTAGAGCTGCAGACCACCTCAGGGCACGCAGCCTGCACAAGTTGGGCTCCACCGACCTGGGGCCACCCTGGCTATGCCAGCTCATGCCAGCCCCCACCTCACTTCCTGCACCCCAACCTTCCCTGCGCAGCCCCCAGCGGAGTGTGGGATATGCTGCTGGAGGGTGGGTCCCAGGGCCCTGAACTCCCCAGGGGTCCTCCTGAGCTGGCAGGCCATGAGTCTGTCCTCTGGGCCTCCCTCCCCTTGGTGCTGGGAAGCCCAGTGTCTCCGGAAGTGGACCTGTCCAAATTTACCATGTTATCAATGTTACGTTCAAACCCCGGAGTGAGCCACTGAGCTGAGTCGCCATGAGGCTGACAGAGCAGGGAGGTGCCACAGTTAGGCTTTCCCAGGTCCTCAGAAGAACAAAGACCTGGACACAGAGGTGAGTCCTCTTGTGTCCTTGACAAGGGACTTGAGTCCAGGGACCTCAGCGTCCAGTCCCAAGTCTCCACCCAGTCTACCCTGGAGTCACACTCAGGACCCTGCCCAAGCTCAGTGGCCTGTCCACCTGTGGTGAAGCTGACACCAGGGTGTCTGTGGCCAGGGACATGGATTCAGGGCCTGTGGCTCCTCTTGACACACAGGGAAGAAACATTCCACAGAGACATTTTTCCTCCTATAAACTCACACATCTCCCAGAAAAGGCTCCTGGCGCGTCACGAGACGCCTACCTTGTGCTCCTTGTAGATGCCGAGCTCCTTCTCCTTGGCTATCCTCGCCTCTTTCTCTACAAGCGGAACACAGCGGCCCGTGTCAGCAATGGCCCGTGCCCCGGCCGGGGCCCGTGGGGGTGGGCAGGCGGGCGCTCACCCCTCTGCTCTCGCAGGTACTCGGCGTTCTCCTTCATCCACAGCTCGGCCTTCACGCGGGCTTCCGACTCGTTCAGTATGTACTGGGCAAGCACAGCGAGCTGCCGTCGGCCTTCCTTCAGCCGAGGGCAGGTAAGCACACTCCCCGTTCGTACGTTTAAATTGTTGAAGGAGGGGAACGCGGGTGGGCCTCTACTCAGTGTGGAGACTGGGCTGAGGCCTTGTGGCCAAGAACAAGCTGGGGACACCCGGTGCTCCATTGCCCTTTCCAAGGCTACCCATGCAGGCTGTCTGTGCGCCAGCACTGTGGCACTCCCAGGCCCCACTGACACCAGGACGCCGGCCAGCCAGAGGGCAGGGCCACGGGTCCCATGAAGAGACTGGGTGCGGGTGTGAGGTGCCAATTTAGATCATAAAATCACAGTAAGAAAGACTCCTTGCCTGACAGAGGCCAAGTACAGCTGAGATCAACAGCAAACAGCCAGAACAAACGACGGGAGCCCTAGAACTTGGAGGTATTCGACACCCTTGGAGTCAGCGGGCGCCTCCGTAACTGGAGACCGCCATATGGGCCCAACCTGGTGCGACTTGCGTTTACCACAGGCCACGTGCCCAGATGGTGGCAAAGGCCAGGTGCAGAGCGCAGGGCCCTACCCAGACGCTGGCTCTGGCTTCCAGTGGGAAGGGCATGTGTTTGCCGTGGCTGCCCTGGAGCCAAAGTCTAGAAGGGTGGGGCTGGGGACAGTGGTGGGCTAGGAGACCACAAGACCACCTGAGGCCAGGGAGTGTCTGGAGAGGCCAAGGGGCGACCATCCCAGAAGCCAAAGGCAAGCCCTGGGGCAGGGGAGGCCGCCAACCCCACCCCCGTCCCAGTGGTGTCCCGACTACAGCGCCAACTGCCTCCTGGGAAGGTGAGGGGCCCCGCAGGGGCTTACTCTGTCGATTTCAAGGTCGTCAATGCCACTGAGGTCCAGTTCACCATCTCCAGAGGTGTCTGCTAGAGGGGAGCACAGTGTCAGTGTCACTTAGGGTCAGTTCTGATTAGAGGGGCACAAATGCCACCTGGCTGGCTCACGACCCTGAGGTTTGGGCCAAGGGGCTTCTAGAAGCTCCGCCTCCTCTGCACCACAGTCCCAGCACTTCCCCTACATTGCCTCGTTTCTCTAAATGCTCACTTCGGGGAGCTAAGTGACGAAAGCAGGACATTAAACTGAAGCTACAAAAAAGCTACCCAACGCTCCTACGCTTTTGCGTAAGAAACGAGCTTTTCTTAGATCGGGAGACACAAGCTCTCTGGCCCCGACAGAGGGAAGAGGCGGCACAGTGGTGAGCGAGGCCCAGGGGACGGATGTCCTGCCACAGAGGAAGGGCTGGGGATTCCCGTTGTGGTGCTCTCAGGCCTGGGGGTGGAAATGACGGTGACTCAGGGAGCTTCCCATCACTGTGCTCAGGATGTCCCCAAACCTGTGGCCACCACCCTCTTGCCCGACATGGTCGAGGACATGCTCTGCAGAGCCCAGAATTGGGGCAGTCTGTCCTCTCCACAAACCCCCGCCGCCCATCGGCTGAGTCCCGTCAAGTCCAGTCATGCAGCCAGGCTGTTTGGGGCTCGCTCCTGCCATGCCGCTCCGTGACTGAGGCCCAGATGGCTGCTCTGTGTTCAGATGTTCCCCCCAGACCCTCCCCAGCCTGCCTCGTTCCCCTTGCTCTCTCAGCTGTGGCCAGAATGGCCCTTTCTGCTCTGAGGTCACTGTACCTTGGCTGCCCCAGGGCCTTTGCACGGGCCCTCTGCCCAGGGTCTCTACTAACACAGCAACCCCCGCCACAAGGGCAGGTGTGTGACTGTCCATCTCCACGCCTGGCCCAGAGGTCACTCGATAAACACCCATCCATGGACTGAGCAGCGACCCTCAAGGGGGCCCCTCGTGCACAGAGGCCAAGCCCTGGTGCCTGGTGGAGGCAGGGCCTAGGGGTCAAGTGTCAAGGGAGGGCCCAGGCTCTGGGCTACCAGGGAGGCTTGTCCTGGCAGGGTATAAGGATGGGACCATCTGCCCTTCTCCTACAACTGCCAACATCTGGGCCCTTCCCAGCCCCGACCTCGGTGATGTTTTATAGAACAGGAGGGGTGAGGAACAGCAGGACCGTCTGCCGTGGCCTGGTCTGGGCACCGTGGGGCAGGGTGACTATCCCCTGCTCAGGGCGTCTCGTCACTGCTGTGCCAAGCTCAGTAAGCAACATTCCTCTGACCAGTGGAGATGTAACCTGTCTGGGCTCTGCCACCGTGTTAAACAAATGGAGGAAGGGCGAGAAAGGCCGGTCCCTGCCCCATGGGCCCCACACTCCCGGCGTGACTTCTCAGCATCGTTAGTTTTCACATGGTGCCCATGGGCTCTCAGGGCTTTGGGCCACATGCCAGCAAGGGGCTGCTGAGGCAGGAGGGAGCCTGCAAGGGGCTGCTGAGGCAGGAGGGAGCCTGTGGCCAGCAGACAGTCCCAGTGAGGGGGACAAAACCTGTTGGGCACTTGGGGTGTTGGCAAACACCCAGCTCTTTGTGTTGGGACCACTGACCCCTCGCACAGCCCTGTGCGGGAGGACTGGCAGTGCCCCCACCCAAGCCCACCCTGCTAGAACCTCCCAGACAGACAATGTCAGCTTCCAGGTCACTCTATCCCCCAACCCCTGTGGTGCTCACTGGGGTCCCGGCTCTGGGAGGAGATGCACTCTCGGATGGAGTCAGAGATGCCCAGGCTGGCCGCTGTGGGCAGGGGACCGAGCAGGGACTCCAGGGCTGGGGTCCCGCTGCCCGCCTCAGGGCCTCCTGCGGCTTCCGAGCTGCCCGGGGTGTTGCTGCCGAGGAGCTCCCGGTAGAAGTCCTTGTTCAGGTGGCTGGCAGCAGCCTCCAGCTCCTCGTCCTCTGTGTCCTCCTCTCCAAGCAAGCTGGAGGTGGTGTCCTCGACGGAGCCTAGGGACACAGGACCCGCACACCACCTGTTAGCTGGGGAGAACACAGAGCGCGTCTGCTCTTGGACAAGAGACACTTCCGCCCAGCTGCAAAACAGCCAGTGGAAAAAAGCCGGAACTGTCAGCAAACGGTGCTGGGATGCCCACGTGTACAAGAAGGAGCCTGACCCATGCCTCACGTTACACAACGAACTCGAATGGCTCACAGACCTAAGTGAGACGGCCAAAACTATAAACATTTTAGAAAAAAGTAGGAGAGCGCTGCCAGTGGAATGCAACGGTGTGGGCGCCCTGGAAACAGTTTGATGGTGTCCTAAAGAAACACTCGCCTTCCACATGACCCAGCAATTCCGCTCCTTGGCATTTACCCAAGACAAGAGGAAAAACATGTCCATGCAAAGACTTGTGTACAGATGCTCACAGCAGTTTATTTGTAACAGTCCCAAACTGGAAAGAACCCAATGCCTTCCAACAACTTCAGTGTATCTGTGGACCATGACACCACGATAAAATAACCAACTGCTGCTGGATGACTGCAAAGAATCACACTGAGTGAAAAAAGCCAGAGGAAAGCAGCATGCACTATGTGAACCATTTACATAAAATGCTAGAAAACATGGCTGATTCAGTGACAGCAGTTCAGTGGCAGCCTGGGGCAGGGAGGCTGGGGTGGGCTATCGGGGCCTGAGGACACCGTTGGGAGTGACAGATCTGTGGGGCATCCTGATTATGGTGACGGTTTCACAGGTGCGTGTAGATGTCAAAACCCCAAAATCAAAGGGTGCATTTTAAATACATGCAGACTGCCTCCTTGCTGAGTACACACAGGTGCTCGCAAACATGCCCATGTCGGTGGACACGGGCCACCACCACACGGTCGAACCGTCAACGGGGGAGGGGGGCCGGCAACACTCCCTGGTCCCAGGCAAGGAGAGCAGAAGTCAGCAACAAAATCGAAAACCACAGCCCACTCCCAGAACTTTCAAAACTCCTCGCGCAGGGAAGAGAAAAACACAACCTGAGACTGAGAAACTGAAAGCATTTCACAGCAGGACCACAACTGAAACGATGCCGGAGAAAAGCCCACTGCCTGAATGTGCGCAGGCGCCAGGACACGGATGGATCCGCCGCGCAGGTGACTGAGAGACGGGGTCCGGGAGAAGCCGCAGGAAGCAGGGAGATAAAGCGCAGGCTACTGACTCGGCAAACAGGAAGGCAGCAGAGCCAATGAATCAATTTGATAACTGGATTAACAGGAAAATCAATAATCAGCTGGGAAAAAAACCAGAAAACATAACTACGAAAAGTAAGAAATGACAAAAAAGAAAATTCAGAGACAAAAAAAATCGGAAGTATCATAAGATACAACTTCACTCAACCCTGCACATGGACGGGACGGGCGCTCCAGCGTCAGCCCCAGCAGGGCGACCTGAGCCACCGTGGCCCAGCAGTGCCCTGGCAGACCCAAGGCAGGCCCGACGTTGGCGCCACCACGACGGATCACATGCCTCAGAGAGAGGGGCTGTGGTCTCTCCACTGACCCTGCACACATCTGGGACACTTGATTGAGACAGGGGTAGTCATGAAAACGCAAGAGTGGGCATTTCCTCCACGCGACAGACCGTGGCATCCCGGCCCATGGGCTACGCCCTGTGTCCTGGGGAGGCGCAGGAGGCCCTGCGTGGAAGCCGGGATTGCGCCCGCGGCCGCTACTGTGATTCCATGAGGTGCTCGAGGACCAGGCAACAGACTCAATGTGAGGAAGAAATTCGGGGCATAAAACCTGATGAGGAACGGTAACAGAATCGCTGTTTGCAGATGACATAATTCGTCACTTGAAAAACCCAATGATAAGTTGAAAACTATTAAAAGGGATGAAAGAGTTCCTTACAACACGCCGGCACAAAGTGAGCACATAGCATTTGGTGTCCTCCACAGTCAGCGAGCAGTTGTGGACACAATAGGACCACTTACAGCAACAGAGGAGGCGGCAGGGCCTGGACGAGGGACATCGCAGGGCTCTTGCACAGGGAGGAGAAACCCAGGAGGGAAGAGAGGGCCACTCCCAGGAGGAGGAGACAGAGTAGGGTCAGAGTAAGGATGTCGCCCACTTTGTCCAAGCTCTTGGGTGAAGCAGAGCACTGGGCTGGGAGGGGACAGGCAAGAGGATCCTAATGTTCACCCACAAAAATAAACAAGAGTGGCCCCCAAACCCCACAGGGGCGTGAGGGGGTGGCCCCTTTCCTTCCAGACGCCAACTGTCTCTGATCAGGGGCAGGAAGCATCAGTGAGTGCCGCTGGCTCCAACATGCTGAGAGAGCACCGGGGGTGGGGTGGCAGTGATCCCACGAGCTCGGACAGTGCTCATTTCACCTGGTCCCCAGAAAGGACCCAGAATAGCCCACAAGGACCCAACATGCCAGGAAGGCAGCGCCCCTCATCATGGGGAACCAGGCGAGCACAGGGAGACCTGTTTAAGGAAGCTGCAGCTGCCCTGAAAGCCCCAAATTGGAAACTGGATGTGCATGGGCCGCCTTAGGGAGGGAGCGGGGTGCAGGCCAATCTGTACCCACAGCCGGCTTCCCGCAGCCCAGCACGAAGCCTGAGCACGAGGAGGGATGCTGAGGTCTCTCCTGCGGGCAGCAGTGGAGCCAGGTGTGAGATCAAGGGCCCGAGGGCCTCGGGATGGCAGCCTGAGGGCACGGGGTTGGAGACTGGCCAGGAACAGGGCTGGAGCTGGGGAGGCGGTGGGTGGGTGGGGGTGTCCAGGAGCAGTGGGACACTCAGGACAGAGTATCGGGGCCCGAAGGTGGCCCTGTGACGTAGGACCAGATGGCCCAGGAAGGGGGAGGCAGGAGGGGCTTGATTAAAAGGTCGGTGCGTGGGGGAGGTGCTGGCAGGACAGCAGTGGGGGGTATCTGGACGGGACCCTGAACCTGCGGCTGCGAGGGCAGGACACGCTCACCATCCTTTGTCAGGCTGGCCAGGGCCCCCTTCGCCTTTGGCCGGCTGTTCTCTAGCTCAATCTCAATGGCGTCTTGGTAAGTGGATATTTCACCTGAAGTAGTGAGTTAAAAGCATAAAGTCAGCACAAATCAATTTTTCTGACCAAACTAAAGCATCTGTACGAGAACATTGGTTGGTTACCTTCAACCTCCTCCAGTTTTTTTGACAGGACTTGCTCAAGCTGAAAGTGCAGGAGGAGAGCGTTAGTGAGGAGGGGTCCACTGCGCGGAACCGGAGCCTCCAGGGACGCCCCGAGGGCCTCACTGACCACAGGCTGCCCAGACTCGCCCCACTGGGGCTGACCGGGGAAAAGCGGCAGAGATGGAGCTGGGGGCCCCACCTTCGCCTGGCCTGGAGAGAGGCCCACCTCTCAGAGTCCCCGTGCTGGACACACAGGGAGAGCCAGGGCCCTGGCTGGCACGGGGTGCTGGAGGCTGAAGCAAGGCTCAGGACCACTGTGGCTGCGCTGCCCCTGGGCAGGGGCTTCTCAGCTTCCCTGCCAAGCCAGGCCCAGCCCGGCGGGCAGCCGTTGAACGTCTGCCCCCACGGCCGTGTGCAGGGTTCTTCTCTGTGTCCCCTCCAAGGCTCAGTCCCTGCCCTGCCCCTGGCTGTCCATCCCTGCAGCAACCCCATCGAGTGTGGCGTGTTTCCTGCCAGGCCCTGACTGTGTCAGAGCCACGCCCACAAAACCCCACAACACAATGATGGAAGGAAATACACCTTGAGCAGAGGCTGCCTCCAGGCGGTGAGATGGGGCATTTTGTGCTCTTTTGGACTTTCAGTATATTCCAAAGTACATGTCTCTTTGGGAATCTACTTTATATTCTAGCATTTTGGAGCAAAACCAGATACTAAGTGCTTCTGTGGGGAGGGGCTCAGTGGGGACAGGAGGCTGGCAGCAAAGCCAGCAAAGCCAAGGTAGAGGTGCCGGGCTCCTGCTCCACGTGTGGTGAGACAGGCCCCTTACTCGAGGCCTCAGGAAGCCAACCCACATGCTTCCAGCCGACCACACACGCAGCCCAGGCCTGGCTGCAGGCAGTCTAGCTTGTGTAACTAAGCCACTTATTTAGAAACAATAACAGACGTGAAGCGTCGAAGCTGCACATCTACAAGAAACATGACTGCCGAGCAGGTGCGGCGCAGCCAGGCACGAGGCCGGCGCTACCTGCTTCATCCGCAGCTTCTTCTGTCCAGCCGTGTACGAGGGGGGGTCGCATTCCTCCTCCAAGTCGATCTTCATAAACTCATCGATGGTCAGCTGGCTGGTAGGGGTGTCTTCAAATTCTGTGAGCCTAAAACAGAGAAGTGAAACAGAGTCCAGGGCCCTGAGAACTGCCACTGAAAACTGAGTGCACCAGACATCCCCCCACGGGACCGGGTTCCCCAGCCACGCTCAGCTTCAAGTGCAAGCCCAGCCGCTTTCCAGCAGCGTCTCGGTCCCCCAGTCCTGCCAGCAGCTCAGGTCCCTGGAGAGAGGCCCCGGGCACCTTCTTCACTTCCACACGTGTGCCCGGGATGCTGGGTGCAAGACTCGGGGAGGGAAGGAGGCCGAGCCAGGCCCCGGCAGGCATGGAGCCTGCACTTCCGCGACTGACTGAGGCTTAATTCTTATCAACTCTTCCACATTTTATGCAATCTTCAAAATGTTTAATAATTTTTAAAGAGAATTAGAGGTCAGATATATAAAGCAAAATTAATTTTCCATCTGCTTTCGGAAAGTGCCATACGGTATGATCTCAGTTGAAAAACAGCAATCAAGTGTTTCAGATGTGTGATAAGTACGGCAGCAATTACGGGTCTGTAAGAACTCACTGCCATTATTTACCTTGTCGAGGTCTGTTTAGACGAAGCTGTCCTTCCAGATGAGCTGTGAGTAACTGCTGCTAACACCACACACCAAAGCGGAAGTGCAAAGCCCCCGCCCCACGTCTGCCAGGCTCACTGCCGTTTGGTTAAACAGATGCAGTGGCCTCTCGTGTGACTCCGGCTTCCCAGTGGGAGATGGGTCACTCAGGGTCTCAAAGTCCAGGATGGGCCACATCAAACAGGAGACAGGTGAGGCCTCTCACTCATGTTCCACCTGACCTCCTGCCTGCCTCCTGCGTGTGACTGAGGGCAACGTCACAACCCTCCACCTTAAGTTAGAAACACTGGGATCAAAAGGATGGGGATATCTTTCTTGGACAGGGTTGGGCCCCAGGACTGGAAGAGAACACTGTGGAGGGAGGTGGGGTGGCCCCCGGCACATCCGAGCGCTTGTGCAATCAGGGCCAGGCTGGGTCCTGGCCACCAGCACCACCGCACAGCCAGGCTGGAGACAGCAGGACCCTAGGAGGCAGCAGTGGCTCTGGCAAGCAGGCCTCACTCAGCTGGACGGATGAGCCGTTGGCATGGCCCCCACAACCTGAATCAGAGCTGCCTACCTCTTCCGTAGCGTGGACTCGCACACTTTGACCACGCTGATGACCTCCTTGACGGTTCTCCTGAAATCATGCATTCTGGCTGCCACCAGAAGTGCTAGAAAGGAGCAAGAGGGGTCCTCGTAAGCCCCAGCCAGGACCGGGAACTAAGAAAGCACAGTATCTCTGCTGCAGCTCAGGATGGCTGGGGCCAGCCCTGTACTTAGGGAGGTGACGGCCTGGGCACAACCTATCTGTGCCAGAGCAGCGAGACCCGCGCCTGGTGTGGCCGCTCCCGGTGAGTGGCGGCTGACCGGACAGCGTCCACCCTTCCTGAGCACTCCCATGCTCTGCGGGACTTCTGGGACCGCCACATTCCCTGCCTCATGGGGGAGGTGGTATACCACACTCCACTTTCAAATACAAGGAGAATGAAAATACAGGGTTTGAGAGCTGCTTTGATGTAACCCCTCAAAGCAATTAGCAAACTTTGAGATGGCGTGTGTGTGAAACGCTGGCAGTGATGGGAGGTGAGGATTCTGAGGACAGGGCCCAGGCCAGAGTGGAAGAGGTGGGAGGCACCAGGTGGGGCTGTCGTGGGCCTCAGAGAGGCCTGGAACCTGCAGTGCAAATACGCAAATGTGGAAACCAGGTTTTCAAATGGAAAATGAATGTCCAGTAGCATTAATCCTGCTGTTAGCAGAGTACAGGGACACTGGCACCTGGCCTTCTGGAAAAGAGTGGAACCTGTGGGCACCAGAGGGGGAGTGAGGGCCCTGCCGACCTGGGGGCTCACCCTGGGCAGGGGCCCAGGTCCATGGCTGGTGCAGTTAGCCAGACCATGTCCACGTCCACCCCACCATCACCCAGAGCTAAGCCAGGGTCTATGGGAGAGCTGCACCCGGAGGGGTCCTCAGAGTGCGACCAGATCAACTGTCATGCTGGGGGGTGGTAGATTAGCCTGAAAGCCCTGGGGCACCCTCTGCAGTAACAACTTGGCATCTTAGTTGAGACAGGCCACACTGTTAGCCATGCCAGGAGCCAGGCACTCTGTGCGGCTTCTCCCCAAAAGTGGGCAACTCGGGGTCAGGCCCAGGGAGCCCGGCCAGTCCACTCTGCCTGTGAGGGTCCTGTCCCTTATCCTAGGACCTGCAGAGGCTGACAGGAGAGCCAGGAAAGGCCTTGAGGGCCAAGGACCTCTGAGACAGGTCAGTACTAGGCACAGGAGGCTGGGAGGCTGCTCGGAGTGCGAGGCCAGCTCTGGGAATACAGGCACGACGCACAGGCTCGGACGGCTCAAGAGTCAGGACAGAGAACTCGACCACAGTGGCCAGCGAGTCTGGGCCGGTGTGACTGCAGGACTGAGGGCACCGTCCCACGGGAAGGGGCCTGGGACTCCTACCGCACCTGCTCCGCAGAGGCCCGAGGGGCGCCGGCCAGTGTGCATCCAGTCCCTCTTCATCCTCTGCAGGAGCCTCAGGGCTGTCATGGACACCTCATGGTTCTTCTCCCCAAACTCCAGCAGGTGGGCGAAGCGTGGGATGTATAGGCACGGGTCTGCGGCAGACACACCCCCTCAGTGCCAGCCTCACCAATGCCAAGAACACACCTTGCAAGGAGCCTTTGGAGTGTGCGCACACAGTATACACAACACAGCCCAGAGCAACACCCCCAGACTTGGGTCAACCCTCACCCGTCTTTCCATGCACACAAGCGCCCCAAGGGTCCCCCTGTCCTGACGGCCTCCCGACCCTCAGCTGCAGCGGCTGCAGACATTGCATAACCAGGGAGAGATACTGCCTTCCCACCACCAGGCCAGCCTGCTGCAGGCACGCAGTGGTCTCGGGCAGTGCGCCCAGGCATAGCCTTGCTGACTCTCACGGCCCCCTGCTCAGGGCATAGCAGGGGTGCTCACACCCAGCAGCCTCCCCTCCGGACCACACCGACAGTGCCACCCCCAACAACATTCACTGGGGTTCTTGAGCAGCACAGGCCTGGGCACACAAACCACCCTCTGAACCCACCAGGTGGCTCGTGTCAGCTCATACTTGCGGGCCAGAGGAGGGCCCACTCTCGGCATCTCCACCAGCACCGCGCAGTGCTGTGAGGGGACACGTGCACAGACGCCTGGCACAGTGCTGGATGTGTGCAGACACACGGCCCGCCGCGTGAGTGGGAACGAGCAGGCAACTGAAGGAACGCGGCTGACTGGGGTGAGGCCATGAGTGCGCTGAGGGAACTGCACGAGCTCCGTAAGAGAGCATCGGGCGGCACTGTGCAGAAGAGCCTCGCGAGGCAGGGGCCGTTTGGGCTGAGGTCTGAGCAGGAGAGGGCCTGGCCCAAGCCGGAAGCAGGTCCGTGCTAGCGATGACCATGGAGGAGGGAACTGCAGGTCACAGAGAGCCCTGGAGGCACAGGGAGGGGACCGGTCGGCTGTTTCTCTTCTCGCTCCAGCCTGAGCAGTGAGCCACCAACCCTACCTACTCACCACTACCTGGGGCCCTCCTTCCTTGGCCCTCCGCTGACCCCTTCTATCAGCCTCCTGCATCTACAAGGGCCTGCGTGACTGAGCTCCGGCCCCTGGAAGCCCTGTGAGATCCTGCAAGTGTTCCCCTGCATTTCCGGCTCACACAAAACACCCAGGGAATGCTTCTGAGGCCAGAGAAGATGGCTCAGCCCAGAAGCAGCCTGGGACCCGAGGGACTGCACAGACCCAGGCCACACTCCTGCACATAGACCACGTGGGGCTGTGACGAGAGTGAGCAAAGCCCGTGGTGTGTCCCGTCACAGGGTCCTGACAGCCACCCAGCCAGCCGCCCAGCCCAGGTAGCTGCGACCCCTCGTCCCCCTTTCCAGGTGAGCCGTGGCCACGTGGCCCCATGGGCTGGACTCAGGCTCAAGTCTGAGCTGTCTAGAACTACAGCCCATTTCCACCGTTTAAGAAATAACTTTGGTGCTTTGGTTGCTAAAAAAAGATATTACTGGGAGAAAAATAAGAGGTATTTTAAAAGTAATATAATTGTTAACATTTCTAAAATTTTTCAATAAAATGCCAGCCACTGGAGCCAGAGCTGTAACGTGTGGTAAAAGACATCCTGACGCGGTGGGACTCCGACGCTGATTCTTGAAGCAGAAAACTGAGCTCAGAACACTAGTAAACATTTCAAAACAGATATGTCAGGAGACAGGTGGGGGCGAGTGGGACTGAGCAGCAGTGACGCTACAGGCCGGCCAGCGTGCAGTGCCAGGCAGGGCAGTGTCGAGGGGCAAACGCAAACATTTTATGGAAAGAAAACAGTAGTTTTAAACAGTCGTAGATCTGTAGGCGCACAGCAACACGGGAAGGATTAAATGAAGCAAAAAGCACTGGAAACAAATTTCACAGCTACAATAATAGGAGATTTTAACGTAGTTTCCTCAAATTTGACAGACTGATTAAGGAAAAAAAAAGACTAAAGGGGCCGGGCGTGGTGGCTCACGCCTGTAAATCCTAGCACTCTGGGAGGCAGACGCGGGCAGATCGTTTGAGCTCAGGAGTTCGAGACCAGCCTGAGCAAGAGCGAGACCCCGTCTCTACTAAAAATAGAAAGAAATTAATCGGACAATTAAAAATATATAGAAAAAATTAGCCAGGCATGGTGGCGCATGCCCGTAGTCCCAGCTACTCGGGAGGCTGAGGCAGGAGGATTGCTTGAGCCCAGGAGTTTGAGGTTGCTTGTGAGCTAGGCTGACGCCACGGCACTCTAGCCCGGGGAACAGAGTGAGACCCTGTCTCGGAAAAAAAAAAAAAAGTCAAAAGACTAAAGGGTGAATTAGACATATCACCATAGGCTCCGTTTAACAAGTATATTTTAAATTCGGTGTCCCGCAGAGTCTGTGGATCAGTTACGGAAATGACCGTGTATTTAACACAAAGAAACCGTCAATCTAGTCTAGCTAACAGAAACCTCACAAGCCATGCCCTTGACCACATGTGCAACAAAACTAAAAATTAGCAAAAAAAGAAACACAATTCCCTCACCTCTAAGCACTATCAGGAAACTAAAGAATAATCCTTCAGGTAATTTTATAGACAAATGCTTCTTATAATTAAGGAAGAAACAACAAAAATAATGAACTAAGTAGCCAAATAACAGAAAATTTTAGATTAACAAAATTAATTAAATTATTTAAAGTAAGCAAAAGGGACTAATAAAGAAAAACAAGGCCAGGCGTGGTGGCTCACGCCTGTAATCCCAGCAGTTTGGGAGGCCAAGGAGGGAGAATCGCTTGAGCCCAGGAGTTTGAGAGCAGCCTGGGCAACACAGTGAGACCCTGTCTCCACAAAAAATTTAAAAATTAGCTGGGTGTGGTGGTGTGCACCTGTAGTCCTAGCTACTGGGGAGGCTGAGGCAGGAGGATCGTTTGAGCCCAGGAGTTTCAGCCTGGGCAATAGAGTGAGATCCTGTCTCAGAAAGAAAGAAAAGAAAAAGAAAAACAAGTAAACAAATAAATTACCACTATCAAGAAAAGAATTTTGAAGACCCCAAAGCCAGTATGGTACTGGCATAAAGACAGACATACAGACAAGTGAACAGCACAGAGCCCGGAAACAAACCCTAGAGTGTATGGTCAAACGATTTTCAACTAGGGCGCCACAGACACACAACAAAGAAAGGATAGTTTTTCAACAAATAGTGCTGGGAAAACTGGGCATCCACATCCAAAGAACGAAGAGAGACCTTTACCTTACATTCCACACAAAAATTAACTCAAAACAGATTAGAGACCTAAACGTAAGAGTTGATACTATAAGACCGCTACAAGAAAACATTGGGAAAAGCTTTATGACACTGGTCCTGGCAATGATTTCTTGAACATGGCACCAAAAATAAGGGCAACAGAAGTAAAAACAGACATACGGGATGACCTCAAATTAAAACATTTCTGCACAAAAAAGGAATCTATTGACAGACAGAAAAGGCATCCTACAAAACGGGAGAAAATACTTGCAAACCACTTTATCTGGTAAGGGGTCAATATCCACAATAAATAAGAAACTCCTACAACTCAGCAACAAAGAAACCCAAACAACCTGATTACAAAATGGGCAAAGGACTTGAATAGACATGTCTCCAAATAAGATATACAAATGGCCAAAAAATACATGAAAAGATGCGCTACATCACCAATGAACTGGGAAACACAAATCAAAACCACAAGACACCACCTCATATCCATTAGCACGGCCACCATCAAGAAAAGAAAATTATAACAAGTACTGGCAAGGATGAGGAGAAACCTTTGCACACTGCTGGCAGGAATGTGCAATGGTGCCGCCACTGCGGAAAACAGTAGGGTGGTTCCTCAAAAAGTTAAACACAGAATTACCGTCTGATCCAGCAATCTCACTTCTGGGTATATACCCAAGAGAACTGAAATCAGATGGTGAACGAACATCTGTACGCGCGCGTTCTCAGCAGCATTATTCACGACAGCCAAGAGATGGAAGCAACCCGTATCCACGGATGGACGAACGGAGGAGCAAAATGTGGTCTATCTGCACAATGGAATGTTATTTAGCCTTAAAAAGGAAGGAAATTCTGACACATGCTACAACATGGATAAACTCTGCTGACATCATGCACTAAAAGGACAAATACTATGTGACCCCACTTACGTGGGGTACCTAGAGTAGTCAAATTCATACAGATAGGCAGTAGAATGGTGGGTGCCAGGGGCTGGGCTTGGGCGGGAGAAGGAAATGGGGAGTATTTGTTCAATGGACATAGAGTTTCAGTTATGCAAGATCCGTGAGTTCTATAGATGTGCACGTAGTTAATACTGCATTGCACGTTAAAAAACTGTTGAGGGTAAATTTATGTTATGTGTTTTTTTATCACAATAAAAAGTCAAATCTCTACAAAGTCTAATCAAGAGAGAAAGGAGAAAAAACACAGACAGGCATTAGGAACAAAAAAGGACCATAAACGGAGAGGTGGAGATTTTTAAAACTGACCATGTATTATTCATAACATTATAATACATTTAAAATCCAAAGAGCAAAGGATGGATTTTTTTTGTTTTGCTGAAATATTTTTAGATATCCACACACCCCCACGCCACCACCCAGATCGAGATGCTGACTACCTCTGACTGCCCAGCAGACCCTCCTAGAACCCCATTCTGAGATAACGTCCACCCAAGTTTTGTGTGTAGTTATAATTTAATTATTCTCACTGCATTCATTGTACGAATCCACCACAATTTGTTGATCCTTTCTGTTGCTAATGGACATGTGGACTGTTTCCACTCTGTGGCCATTTGTATTTTGTTCCTGAAAATCGTTTACACTCTTTACCGTCTTTTATGAAAACACACAGTTGGGACATAAACCATGGCCGCAGTGGCCAGCCCGTCTTTGCCAGCGGGGTTCCCACAGCATGAAGGTGCTGCTGCGGCATCTGTGGCTGTGCCCTTGGTGGGCACACACACAGTTTCTCCTGGGACTTCCGGGCTCTAGTGCGCACTACCCCTGCCCTCGAGGTTATGCTCCCACCAGCAGCGCGTGAGTTCTAGTTGCTCCGCGTCGTCACCAACACTTGGTATTATCAGTCTTCTTAAGTTCAGCCACTGAACTGAGGGGGGAGTTCAGTGGTGCCCCATTCCCCAAATAACTAATGACATGAGCACTTTTGGCCATTTGGATAGTGTCTGTTCACCTCTTTTGCCCATTTTTTAAAAATTGGGTTGTCAGCATTTTTCTTCCTGACTCGTAGTTCATCTTTTGGATAGTCTTTTGCAAAAAATACAGCAAATATTTTCTGAAAGGGATGTTCTCCTTGGGGACATTTACTAAAATTGAGTAGGCTGAAAAACTGAATAGACCAATGACAACCATGGAAAAAACAGAGAGCTCCTGTTTGATTTTCAGAGCAGGGGTGGGGTGACCAAGGCGGTGCCCACTGACCAGTCACTGAGCTGCTCGGCTGTGTCCTGTACGTTTCCCCTACATGGAGCGTAGGGACATGCAGGAGGTTACATATGTGACCTTAGGTGAGGAAGCCCCTCCTGAAAGCGAAGACTCTGAGGCTGCAAGTCTGAATCCAGGCCCGACTGCACACCAGCTACATGGTCTGGGGCAGGGGACATGACCTCTGAAGTTTGGTCTCCTCATCTGCAAAGAGAGGTGTCCAGAGTCATATGATTCCCAGGAATGGCACGCGGCTGCCGAGTGGTTGTGCATGGAGTACGCGGAGGTTGCTGCCATACCTGAGCTATGCCAGGTAGAAGGCCGCCAAGCATGACACTCAGCATGATGTCCCAACAAGGTAAGTCATGACTAGCTGGGACAGACTAGCAAAGGTCACATCCGACAGACCAGCAGAGGCAGGTGAGCATCCCCTTGGGAGGCCAGGGTCCAGAGCTGGATGCCTGGGACCAAATTCGCCTACAAGCTGGGTGACTCTGAGCTTGCTTCCTCGAGGACAACGTAGGGGAAATGGCAGCTCCTGCCAGCTCAGTACTGAGTATGTAGAGCACCCAGAGCAGGTTGGGAAGTGCTATCCATGAGTGTTTGCTTCTGATACCTGCAATAATCTAAAGTATGCAATGTTCAGACAAACTAGAAAAAGGCTACCAACAAGCCAATTAAAATGATAAAGGCCATAAACATAAAATCCACAAAAATGCAAATGATCAATAAACACAGGAAAACACACGAAAACACAGTCAACTGCTTTCATAATTAAACATATGCAAACTAAAACAATGGGATGTCATTTTCCATGCATTAAAGTACAAGAGAAGAAATAAAGTGGGCGCTGACAAGGCTATGGGGAGTGAGGACTCTCATACCCCTGAGGGGCGAAAATCGGCAGTGTGCATAGAGCAGCCAGCAGCCCCTAACCCCAAAACCCAAAAAATAAAGAAATGATCCTCTGAGCCAGCATTTCACTACTAATGAATTCTTTCACAAAACAAAACAAACAACAAACACACCAACCACTAATTCAGATGGGAAGAAGGGTGCACAGACATGGCCCCAGAATGTTCACGTCCCCGTCAGCAAGAGAATGGGACACAGGGGTGCCCACATCAGATGTCACCAAGGTCTTCCAAATAAATAAGGAGGATGCATGGGTCCTGACGTGGTGTCAGACCCCGGGTGGGAGAGACTCCACCAACAGCAACACCAGTGACCCGGGGCCACACGCCATGAGGATATGCAGTTAAGAATGGGAACAGGCTAAGTCGTCACCAAGCTAAGAGTAATTTCTTCTGAAAAGGAAAGAAATTAGCTTTCCACATCAGGCACTTCTACAAAATTTGAGCTACTAACATTTCACTTTGGGGTGACAAAAAATGAACCGATTAAAAAGCAGGAGAGAGGTGTTTAGAGGCGATACAGGACAGCAAGCGCACGCCCACATGCAGGCCAGGTGAAGGACCTGGCGCCCAACTGAGGGTGGCATAATCCCGCTCCTTCCCGGCCCGGCGGCGGGGCGGGGCCTTGGGCCAGGGGCGGGGCGCCGACGTCCGCCCGCGGGGTGGGGCCTCGGGCGCACCGTGACGCACCGAGACGCGCCGGCGCCGCGGCGGGTACGGGCGAGGGCGGGCGGGACGGCGCCCCCTGCGGCCGGGCTCGGGCTCGGGCTCCCGCTCGGGCTCCAGCGGGGGTCGCAGGGCCGGGCGGGGCCGCGGCGCGGGGAGCTGCCCTGCCCGCCGCCCGGCGCGGCCCCATGCTGCTGCCCCTGGCCTGTCTGCACGGCCGCGTCGCGCAGTGCCTCACCGCCCTCCTTGTGCTTGCAGAGCCGCCCCCGAAGCCCCCGCGCGGCGCCAGGGCGCGCGGCGTGGCGCAGACCTGCGCTGAGGCCGCCCCCGCCGCGCTGCCCGCGAAGATGGCCGCGGAGCTCTACCCGCCGGCCAGCGCCGCAGCCGCCGCCACGGACATCGCCAACAGCAACGCCGCCGCCGCCGCGGGCAGGAAGGCCGGCCCGCGCAGCCTGCCCAGCGCCCCGGCCCCCGCGCCGCCGCCGCCCGCACCCGAGCCGCCCGCGCCCAGCAACAACAACTTGGAGAGCCCCAATTGGCAATCCTTCCACCCGACCCTGCGCGAGAGGTGAGCCCGCCCGACACCCCGCCCTGCGCGCCCCCAGCCCGGCGGCCTGCGCCGCGCGGCCTGCGGAGCCAAGCCCGTGTGCCCTGCCCTTTGCAGGAACGCGCTCATGTTCAACAACGAGCTCATGGCCGACGTCCACTTCATCGTGGGGCCCCTGGGGGCGACCAGGAGGGTGCCTGCCCACAAGGTTGGTAGAGGGTCAGCCCTTTGAGCTCCCAAAGGCGACGGGCCACCTCCCAAAAACGGACTGCCGCGACCCGGCGTGGCTGGACACAGCCTGTGTCTTCCTTAATGCGCCTGCAGCCAGCTGGGGGGCCTCGGGGCTCACGCAGCTCTCTTCCTCATCCACAGTACGTCTTGGCTGTCGGGAGCTCCGTTTTCTTTGCCATGTTTTACGGGGACCTCGCAGAAGTCAAGTCAGAAATCCACATACCGGATGTAGAGCCCGCAGCTTTCCTGATCTTGCTCAAGTAAGTCTGCTCTGAGGGGCTTAGGATGGGGGTTTCTCCTTTCTGCCTGGTCACTACCAAGGCAGCATCCCACAGCTTCTGAGGGGATGCACACAGCAGCTGACGGGCACCCCTCCCAGGCCCACACTGCCTGGTGACGGGTGCTCAGGAGCCAGCCCCCAGCAGCTGCTGTACCTGCCTTGCCTAGGTACATGTACAGTGACGAGATCGATCTCGAAGCCGACACGGTGCTGGCCACTCTGTATGCTGCTAAGAAGTACATTGTCCCCGCACTGGCAAAAGCCTGCGTCAACTTTCTGGAGACAAGTCTGGAAGCCAAAAATGCCTGCGTCCTGCTGTCCCAGAGCCGGCTGTTTGAGGAGCCCGAGCTGACCCAGCGTTGCTGGGAGGTCATCGATGCGCAGGCCGAGATGGCCCTGCGGTCTGAAGGCTTCTGTGAAATCGACCGGCAAACACTGGAGATCATCCTGACTAGGGAGGCCCTTAACACCAAGGAGGCGGTGGTGTTCGAGGCTGTCCTACACTGGGCTGAGGCAGAGTGCAAGAGGCAGGGCCTGCCAGTCACCCCACGCAACAAGAGGCACGTTTTGGGGCGAGCCCTCTATCTGGTCCGAATTCCAACCATGACCCTGGAGGAGTTTGCCAATGGCGCTGCCCAGTCTGACATCCTGACTCTGGAGGAGACCCATCACATCTTCCTGTGGTACACAGCTGCCAACAAGCCCCGCCTGGACTTCCCCCTGACCAAGAGGAAGGGCCTCGCCCCGCAGAGGTGCCACCGCTTCCAGTCTTCCGCCTACCGCAGCAACCAGTGGCGGTATCGCGGGCGCTGCGACAGCATCCAGTTTGCCGTGGACAGAAGGGTGTTTATTGCAGGGCTGGGCTTGTACGGGTCCAGCTCTGGGAAGGCCGAGTACAGCGTGAAGATCGAACTCAAGCGGCTGGGGGTGGTCCTGGCTCAGAACTTGACCAAGTTTGTGTCGGACGGATCCAGTAACACCTTCTCAGTATGGTTTGAACACCCAGTCCAGGTTGAACAAGACACCTTCTACACGGCCAGCGCCGTCCTTGATGGCAGCGAGCTCAGCTACTTTGGGCAGGAGGGGATGACGGAAGTGCAGTGTGGGAAGGTGACCTTCCAGTTCCAGTGCTCCTCGGACAGCACCAATGGGACAGGGGTCCAGGGTGGGCAGATCCCTGAGCTCATCTTCTACGCCTGAGACACCAGGCAGGGGCTGGGGAGGCTGCACCGTGAGTAAGCGCAGGGGAAGCAGAAGCACCGAGCTCTGCAGCTGCGCTTAATTTGTATCTCTTTGGTATGTAGCCAGCTGTAGCCTGATTCTGTGAAATAGAAGCCTTTTCTACACAGCCAGAGCCCAGGTGTCTGAATCTCAGGCGTCTCCGGACACTGGTGGCGCACATTGCAGGTGGAGGCAGACTTGGGGCACAAGGCAGGCCCCAGATCCCCTCAGTGGCACCCACGCTGCCTGCTTTGAGGGGTTGGATGTCCCTCCCACCCTCTAGGGTTCTAAGTGGTTCCAAGCTTAACATGAGACCTTCCCTTCAAATCTAAAATTAGTCACTTAAAATAGTTCATCTATTAAAGTAGATTTTCATAATAAAGGTTGCATAAAATGGTAGCTGCGTGTAGGTAAATGATCATGCGAGTCATAAACTGAGGTGTTCTCTCTTTCACACAGCGGGAACAGGTCCTCTCTGCCATCACTAGAGGAAAACGTACAGTTCTGAACAATGCTTACTGGTTAGAAGCCAACTATGTCCCCAAGATGCCCATCTGTCCCCTGGGCCCCTACCAGTTGGGGCTGGCTTCCTCTCTAGAGCTGCGGCTAGAACACTCCGGAAAATGCCAGGAGTCTGGTTTTCTCTGTACTTCCTAAAGCATCACCAGCACCTCAGGTGAAGTCCCACTGTGTGGATTTGACTGGTGGGGGCACACTCCCTGGGCCCCTGAGAACAGACCGCTGGCCTCAGGCTGGCCAACAGCGTCACGAGCAGTCACTGCCTGCGGGGACAGCCTGCCGCGGGTGTGCACCGTAGGGTAAAGCAGGCTCTCCCAGCCCCTTGTCCCTGTCCCCTCAAACCGCACATCCCACAGACAGCTGCTTTGTTTCTGGAAAACCTCAGCTTGACCCCCAAAGGGGAGGGATGGCCTCCCCTGGCACAGTGCTGGGGCCTTCTGGGAGAGGGTGTGGGCCAGGCATGGAGCCCCAGCCTGGTCCGACACCCTGATGCTGGGGAAACTGGCCCACCCTGCCCGGCACTGGGGCCTGGCCCCGCCCTCCCCGGCCCCAGATGCCACCTAGCTCTGGAAACACCTGCAGGTGCTGACGGGCCAGGTAAGGAAATGGCCCTCTGAGCTGGCTGTGGAAACCAGTCCTCTTGGTGAAGCTCAAGTAAAGAAAGGGTAAGTCAAAAAGATCAGGCAGAAAGTGCTATTCTGATCCCTTCCTTCTAGATTTTTCCATCAGCTCTGATTCTACATGCACGAACGCTGGTGCTGCCAAGAGGGGAAACAGGACTTGCTCTACTCCTTCCCCATGCTGAAAGAGGAATACACAAGCTCCATAAAGCCGCCCACACTGGAAGCTCAATGAACACAAAAGTGGCACAAGACTCAAGAATGGGCTGTGGCCAAGTGGAGTCCACAGGAGGTGCCCCACCATTCCTGTCTGTGTGGAAATGCCACCTCCCCAGAGGCACCTGGAGGCCGGTATTTCCAAACCTCGTCCCACACACAGCAGCCCTCCGCTTCCCTGTCTGTGACCCTGTCCACACTTGCCAGGCACTCACAGTGGGTCTGCTGGTCACACGAGAATAAAGCCCCTCGTGCTGAGTCCCCAGCAGCTTTAGGAGACGTTTCTTATGTTGAGAGGTGCTGCACTTTGATAGGATTTCCCTCCCATTCTTCAAAACACATTTAGCACACTGGTTTCTCAGCAGCCCTTGGACCCCACCTGAGCCCCGACACGTACCTATGGCTGGCGCGTTGATGCAGAGCTCTCTTGCCAAGAGAAGAAACGTCTTTCCCAGCACGTACACGTTCACCTGGGATGGAGAGATCACAGCCAGAAAAGCACTGGTGTTAGATGTGTGCCTTTTCTTGCTTAAAATGCATATTTCATTGTTTGATCTTTAAAGAATGTGACATCAGGGCCTCCTGCAGCCTGTGGAGCACCCACCCCACCTCCCAGTGAGCCTGGCTGTCCTCCGCTTGGCCTCTAGGTCCCAGAGCCTGCCCTCTTCCCCCAGGCCACTGCTTTGGACCTTGCTGCACAGCCTCACCAACGCCTGCATTTGCTTACAAGGAAACCTGCCTGGAGGGTCCTTGTCAGGGCGTAACCACACAGTGCACATGTGTTTAATTCAGAATCATGCATGCCTGAACACAAGGCCTGTGTACCTACACACATTCCCATTGGTCACACCTCCTCCACTCCCTGACCTGACAGGCCCTATTGGTCTCAGCCTCAGCCCCCATTCTGGGATCCTGATCCAAATCCACACCCAGCCTGCCCTCCCCTGCCTTCCTCCCCTGCCATCCTCTCTTTCCGCCACAAGGCAGTGGGGGTGAGGGCCAGACCTGGAAGGGGCTGGCAGTCAGTGGGGGGAGTACCACTGCTTGTCCTTGAGAAAGCAAGGACCCCAGCCTGCATGCAGTCACTGCACACAGCCCCGCAATGCGCCAAGCTCCCCTAAGGAGCCCTGCTGGGGGAGACACAGGCAGGCTGTGGGGAGGATGCTTCTGAGCAGGGTCTGTGGCCAGTGTGGGAAAGCCCCGCCTGCCCTGTCTTCACCCTGGGCTTGCAACCCTGCACCCCTATGCCTCCCATGTTTGGCCAGTCTGGCCCTCTGCCTCTGGCGTCCCCAAAGAACTCCCTCTCCTGACCAAGCCCAGCCTATGGGCCCCTGGGCAAGGCCCCTTGTCCTAGAGTGCAGGTGGCACTTCAGGCACATGCTGATTTCAAGGGACCAGGGGGTCTCCGAGATGGTACACAAAGGGGGTCTACATTAGAGGCAGGAGCTGGAGATAGTGTTTGTGGGGCCATGTCAGCTCGGGGAACCTGCCCAGCTGGGAAGGCCAGGGCTGGGCCTGTATGTCCAGCAGCCGCAGGCCACTGCACTGGTTTCCTTCTGCCCCTGGCTGGGCACAGTTTCTACCTTCCTCGATATACCCGAGGGCTCCATCATAAGGCTGGTGGCTCACACAGTGTGCCTTCTAAAGGAAGTGTGCCTTCTCACGGAGTTTCCATGGGTCTAGGAGTCCCTGGGTCTGCTCCCCAAACTGTGGTGCGTGTAGAGCTTGCACATATGGTATGTGTGAGCATGTATCTTCCCAGGCCTTGTGCTGGACTCCCTCCAGGCTCCTGTCTTCACCCTCCCGATTCCACGTCTGTTTTGACCACAGCAAAACTATGATCTGCTGTTGGAATGGCCAGGCCCCGTTGGAGGGACCTCCCTGACTTCTGCCTGCCCACCTCAAACTCTCCCCTCTACCCTAACCTGTGACCCAGACAGACACAGAGCTTGGATTATGACACCCAAACACTACAGAAAGGGATTCTGTAAAGGGACTTCAAATGGAAAATCAAATTTTAATGAAGCTGTGCACGTAAAATGCATGCAGTTCTCTCCAGAGATACTAATGTGTATGAGTGCTGTTTATCAGAAGTCGTCCCACTAACAGTCCAATGGTTCCCGCTCCTGGGCATCTGGCTGAAGGCTGCTCCCTGAGGGCAGATGGTCAAAGCTGGGCGTGGCTGGCCAGCGCTCCTATTTCTCTCCCAGGACTGCAGGTGGACTTTGCTTACAGACCGCCCTCTTGGGCCTACGGGCTCTACCTCTGAGGAGCTGTGCACCCGGGCAAGTGAGCCACCCTGGGTCTGTCTTAAGGCAGGGATCAAGAGGCCTAGGCGTGGGCCTGCTGGAGGACCAAGCAGTCCCCCAGGTGAAGCGCATGCCAGGCTGGGCTGTGAGAGCACCAGGCCCTACCTCCACGGGTTCCAGCCAGACGGTCATTGAGTGTGAGCTCAACACTGGGGAGAAGTTTAACCTTTGGCATGTGTATGAATCAACAATAAAAGGAGAACCTCAACATGGTGGCCGCTTCCAATTTTAAGTCATTTCCTCAGAGCAGTCAGCCCTTGCCAGCCGCAAGCCCCCCAGGAAAGGTCCTCACCTGATGCAGGTATGCTCTACACCAGAGACAGGTGTAAAGCATCTGTCCTGTGAGTGCCAGGCCCATGCTGGGCCCCCAGGGACATCACGCAGGCACAAAGGAACATGCCGTGGACCCCTCCAGGAAGGGCCCAGCCTCATCCAGTTCCTATCTGCCAGGTCACCTCACACCCAGCATGCAGACATGGCCCAGCCTCCTGCGGGCACGGTAGTCTTGGCACTTGGCTCTGCCCCTCCTCTGAGTCAGAAGGTCAAAGCGAACTGTCTCTGTGTGTCCACCCCTGACTGGGACTCTCCCTGGGCAGCATAGGGACCATCACTGCATGCCTGGGTTCAGCCCTGGGTGAGCAGGAACATCCACTTACTGTAATAGTTATCTTTTTCCATTTTGACAACCTGATTGATACCCCATTTCCAAAGGCTGTGTATAGAGAAACTACTAGAACACCTCCCCCTCTCCAAGTGGTGCCCAAGCCACTTCCAGAGTGGCTGCCCTGTCCCTAGCCCCCATGCCCATCTTTCCTGGGAAGTGACTGGATTAGAAACAGGGTCATGGGCCTTGCCCTGAACTGAGCACGGAGCATGTGAAATGTGGAGTAACTGGATTATCACAATTCCAGCAGATTATTTTTAGCTTGGCCACAAAACTATTTCAGCAATAGCTTCTGAGAGATGCCATTTACAAAGACAGCTGGGAAGACAAAGACACAGGCGCCATCTGATCCTGGCAGAAATCTTACTGTTGGTCACTGCCCAAGGGCACTGAACCCCGAAAAACCAGAGGTGGTAGCACGGTTATAGGACACCTTGGGGCACCCAGATCTGAATGGAAGATTTCCCTTCTAGGTATGGAATCCATGTCGATGCTGCACAACGTAGTCACGTTTATTTTCAATGATAACACTTCTCTTTCTGAGTCCTCAGTAGAGTGATCACTGTGGACCCTGGAGCTCTACTACAACCCAGGGCATGGGGACAAGGACTCGAGTCCAGCCCCCAGCCAGCCCCCAGCACTGTCAATGAGGACAAAATGTGGAGCCTCAATGTCCCCAAGCCCATGAGTGTCCCATCTGCACAGGTGTTCCTGGTGGTGGTCTTTCTACTATGTCTAGTAGTTTGGAAAGAGAGATGCAACAGAAAATGCCTTCTTTGGTACCCAGAAAGCAAGCGTCTCTAAACAGACTATAAATATAAGGTTTTTCTACAATTTCAAATGCGTGCATATGAGTCTAATTTTTTCTATTTTTTTTTTAAAAGAATCTTCCTTGCTTGGGACAACAGTTCACTTGGAAAGCTGGGCGAAGTGGCATGCACCTACCCTGTCTCTTAAAAATAAAAAAGTTCACTTGGCTTTCTCAAGTCGTCCCAAGGCTGGGCTGCCCTGTGTGGACAACCCCATGACGCGTGATACCGCGCAGAGACATGTGTCTTGGCCTTGTGACCCCCATGGCACGAAGGCCTCTCTGTCCTACACACCAAAGGTTCCTGTCAGGGCAGAGAACACAGACTGGCCTCCAGCGATGGTGGAGGGAGCAGAGTGTGTCCCGGTCAAAACCTCAGGTGGGGAAAGAGACTCGGGAAGGTAATCGGTCTACCTGAAGCAGGTCGCTGAGGTCGAGGAGCATGTCTGGAGCAGGAGTCAAGGATCTTCTCGGAGGCTGCAGGCTCAGGTTACACGACAAACTTGAAAGATATAAAGACTGCACACCCAGGGAACGGAAGATGTGTTTGCCGAGTCTAAGCTCAGCACTTGGTCAGGAAGGAAAAGGCCCTGAGGGAAAAGGGCCCCCCCACCCCCACAACAGGCCCCACCAGAACCTTCCGTCCCCCCAGGCACTGAGGGAAACCTCTGTGAACTCACTACCAGGACAAGGGGCTGCAAGAAGTGGGGAGCCAGGCCAAGGGGAACCGAAATGGGGGTGGGCGTCAATATAATCCTCAAGAGGCAACTCCGCCTTCACAGAACAGCTCCCAGTCAGGTGTCCGCTACAGACGGACCCGACACAGCAGAGATGCACAAAAGAACCCGTCCTCCCACCCACGAGCATTTATGGAGCGCCTGTTCAGCGCCAGGCAGCGTCCTGGGGCGGAGAACCCGGCACAGTGCTCAGCCCCAGCACCACAGAGTCCTGGGAGGCAGACACGCACAGGGCCAGCCTCCACCACCCAGGTGAGCCCGGCAGGCACCGTCACAGTGCTAGTGCTTGAGAGGACCTGTTGCTCTCAGCAGATAAATAAATGGCACCAAGAATATGTCCTAAGTGATTCAAAACTCAGATGGATACACAAACAAAAACATCAAACACAGTCATAGGTTAAAGCAACTTAGATGAAGTTAAAATCTATATCATTCATGGCTCTGCTGTAGCTTCGAGAAGCAACTAATGAAGAAATCTTCGTGGTGCTGAACCAGAAGTCCTGAGCAGGTGTCCTAGGAAAATCCTCAGACCACACATGCCAGGGGGAAGCCAAGTCCCGTGATGCTATAACCTCACACGGTCACGGACCGCCAAGGCGTGAGCGCTAAGGTACTTGAATGAAAGGCACACTTCAAGGTATGCACTTCACGGAGGGTGGCGACAGTAAGAAAGAAAATACTGCAGTGGAGAGCAGCAAGCTAGTGAGAAGAACTGTGAGAAAAAGGAAAGAGAGTAAAACCAAAGGAAATGAAAGGAAGGCAACACTAACTATATGTGTAACAATCAATGTCATCAAAGACAGACAACAGAAAAAGTTAACACCAACAGGCTACATCCCGTGTGGTTCCAACTCTGTGCCGTTCTGGCAAAGGCAAAACTGTGGAGACAGTAGAAGGATCAGTGGAGCACGGAGGAGTTTTAGGGCAGTACAACCCTTCTGTGCAACACAGCGTGGCGGATACGCGTCACTGTGTATTTGTCAAAGGCCACAGAATGCACGACAGCAAGAGTGAGCCCTGATGTAAACCGTGACTCTAGCTAATGACGCATCGATCGGCTCATCGACTGTAACAAATACAGCTCACTAACGCAGGACAGAAATGGAGGGAAACCATGGGTGGAAGGGCGGAAGGGTACGTGGGAACGCCCTGCACTGTCTGCACACTTTTTCTGTAAATCTAAAACTGCTCTAAAAAATAAAGTCTATTTAAATAATAACAACGGCCAAAAAATGTGTAAAACTTTTGAACAGAAGCTTAACAAAAAGAAACAAAGAGCCAATAAGCACATAAAAAAGAATTCAACAGCATCAGCTATCACAGAAACCCAAGGGAAACGAGACACCACCACGTACCTGCAACAGCACCGAATGCTGGCGAGGACGTGGGACAACCGCGACTCACACTCTGCTGGTGGGAGTGCACAGGTATGAGCTCTGTGGGGAAAGTCCTGGAAGTTTCTTACAAAACTAAACATATACCTACCTTTTGACTTAGGTATTCTACTCCTAGGTATTTACCCAAGAAAAATAAAAACTATGTCCAAGACTTATAAAAGAGCACTCATAGCAGCTTTACTCATAATAGCCAAAAACTGGGAACGGCCCCGCTGTCTATCAGAAGAGCAGACATCTAGCTGTCCTGTGTCGCACAGTGCTACTACTCAGCACATCAACGACACGGTGAATCTCAAAAGCATGCCAGGTGTAGAAACCTTCCAGAAAGAACACAGGCCGTATGATTCCACCTGTAAGACATTCTACTACAAGCACAACAGGCTGATGGTGGAAGGATATCAGGTCAGTGTCTGCCTCCCGACCGGAAGGGCAGAAGGACTGCTTGCTCCCCGGTGCTGGCCGCTCTGGCCCCAACGGGAGCTGGGCGGAGGCACGACCTTTGTCAGAACTCACACAGCAACAGGGCCTGCGCATTCCACTTAGGGCCCACTTTATCCCCAAAGGAAAGAAGGAACCAGCTAATGATCTGCCTGCTGAAGGGCTTTGTGGGGAGTGGGCAGATGTCTGTACCGATCTTTCAAATGTGCCAGAAAGTGAGACGGCTAAGGGACGCATGGCGAGGGGTGCGGGCGTCAGGGGCAGAGCTTGGACCCCACGTGTTAGGGAGCGACTCTACAATTACTTCAACTTTGCAGGTGTTTGAAAATCTTCATAATGAAAACATGGAAGTAAGTGTGTACATTTTATGAATAAAAGGGGCTTGGAATGACACTTTTAAATGAGTTAAAATGATTACTTCCCTTGAAATGAAAATCGCCCGACACTTGATCCTGGACCACCTGGCTCTGCCAGGAGGCACCCCAGGGGAATCCCAGACAGCAGGCTCAGTTGCGTAAGGGACAGCTACATGCCCCCAGGGCCCAGCCTGGGCCAGAGCCCATTCGTGTCCCTGGGGCCCAGTTCCCAGGCACCCCAACCAATGAACATCTGGGGATCTGCCCGTGGCTTCTGAGCATCTTCTGCCCAGCATGGCCAGCGGGCCTGTCCCTCCCAGGGCCCCTCCCTTTTGCTAAGCAGCTGCTTCTAACCTTGCCAGCTGGAAGTAAAAGTCAGCAGGCAAAAGTGCCTTGCTGAGGCCCTGAGGGCATGGGAGCCTCTATGCTGTCGGCTGGGACCTCTTTTTCCCTCCCTCCTGGTCCCTGCCATGTTCTAGTAGGTGGCACTTCTGCTCAATGAGCCTTGAGTGTCAGTCATAGAAGAGATGTATAAACAAGACTGGTGGGTGACAAACACCTTCAAAGATTCTGGACTTTCCTGAGGGTTAGAACAGACTCAAGCGTATGAGGCTCCCATGAGACCGTCGCTGGGTTTAATAAAATGCGCGAGCAGTTCCGACGCTGTCGTGTGCGGCAGTGCGTCCGCTACTGTGCCACCACACCGCCTGGCACCTGGGACGAACCCGGCTTCCCCACCAAGTCGCGGGCAATGCAGGGGTGGGGGGATGGCCACTCCACTGTGAAGAGGGCGGGGAAAACTGAGGCTGTCCACGCCATTTGGCTGGCTGTAGTATGCCTGTAGGGAAGACGACTACAGACACGTTTTCCGTAAGTAGAAAAGTTCACAGAGATTTAAATAAGGCAGAACTAAAACTCAAAAGAACATGAAATTCCTCTGAGCAGCCTCACATATAAATGTTTCTTCTGGATGCCCCAAGAGAGAAACAAGGAAACCTGCCCCTGCATGTCTGATAGAAAGGTCTGTGCTGCAATAGTTTGCAAATGAATGGGGGACCAGCGGGGTGGCCCCAGCCTGAGCCGATGACATTCCCAAGTCCCCTGGGACCAGAGAGGGGATTGTAGACATGGCATCAGGACCAAGGAGCAAAACCTCCACTTCTCCTAGAAGGACAACCAGCCCAGCCCTCATCCACCACCACACCCGACTTTTGTGGGTCCCTCTTGCTCTGACTAATTCTCCCCCAGGCAGCCAACACTATTTGGCACAGTTATGCACAGCCCCACCCACAGCTCTATTAGAGCATGAACTACTGGCCACGTCTACGAGGACAAAGGCCACCAGGAGTGCTGGGCGCCCCAACCCATGCAGAAGCAGTGCCTGGCAGCCATGATGAGGAGCACCCCACGGGGGCTCTGAATGCCAGCTGCATGTGCAGCACTGACACCCACTGTCTACACAGCACTGCTGCCCACCATCTACATAGCACCGACATCTACCATCTACACAGCACTATCTACACAACACTGAAGGCTGCCTGCTGCATACAGAGCACTGACGCCCACCATCTACACATCACTGACACCCACTGCATACACAGCACTGATACTTGCTCCTGTACCACACTGATGCCTGTTGCGTACACAGCACTGACACCCACTACATACACAGCACTGATGCCCACCATCTACATACCACTGACACCCGCTGCCTGCCCCACACTGACGCCCGCTGCATACACAGCACTGCACCGCGTTGCCACCTACTGCTTACATAACACTGAATCTGCTGTCTGCACAGTGGTGATGCCTGCTGTTAGACAACCTGACACCTGTTCTCTGGAAAGCATGCCAGGGAGGTGTTGGAGCCACACTTTCCCTATTTGCTTCGAGGGTGACTGAGACTGAGGCTGTGGCTGAGGTTGCCCACTGAGAGTGGAGCTGGCATGAAACCCAGCCTGGCTCCTGGCCCGCTCTCAATCCCACATGGTCCCAACCCCTCACCAGAGGGTGAAGCAGGAACAGCCCCTTGGGATGTGAGAGCTTTGCTCCCTGCCCCACCCACGTGGATGATGACAATGGGCAGAAGCTCCAAAAGCACGTTCCCCTGAAGCCCTGCACAGCACAGCTCCGTGCAATAGCATAAATCAGCTGTAATTTCAAAAACGTGAAAGAGAAATAACCTATGGGTTCAGAGCCTTCATTGCAAGCTTCCTAAAGCAGGAGGCTGGCGGACAGAGAGTGCATCTTTAGGCCCCACACCCAGTGGGCCAGGCTCTGATAGGTCTTGGATATAGCTAGGAATGGGGTCACTCACGCCAGGGCTCAGGTGGCCTCAGCTGCTTGAGAGCATGCCCCATGAGGACCCAGCTCCCAGGTCATGAGCAGCCCTGTCCCCACAGGGTGCTCCCCAAAGATCACCCTCCTCCTCAGCCTGGCAGAGAGCAGGTGCTCTGGGAAAGTCTGCTGAATGAGTGACGAGGGGCAGTAGACCTGCCGACTGCCCTTCCTCCAGCCC